AAATATATTTTTTTTTTGAGACAGAGTCTTGCTGAGATGCTTAGGGCCTCACTTAGTTGCAGAGGCTGGCCTCAGAGGTGCAATCCTCCTGCCTCAGCCTCCCCAGTTGCTGGGATTGTAGATGTGTGCCACTACTCCTATTGTTTTATGGTATCTTTTGAAAACCTTTCCCTCTCCTCTAATTTGAAATGGTTAAATTTTGCCGGGGAATTCTTTTTAGTTATACATGGCAGGAGAATCCATTTTGACAGAATTATAAAAACATGGACTATATCTTGTTCTAATTCAGTCCCTGGTACCTCCCCTTTCTCTCCCTTTTCCAACTCCCTCTTCCCTTCTCTCTGCTAATCTTTCTGTCATTTACCCATAGTTTTTTTTTTTTTCAATTAATTTATTGTGAATGTACACAATTGTGAGATTCACTGTGGTATATTCATGTATGTACATATGTCAGATTCATTCTACTGTCTTTCCTTTTCCCATCCTTCCCCCCTTCCCTTCATTTCCCTTTGTTTACTCTACTGAACTTCTATTCATTTTTAAACACCCCCCCCATTTATTATGCATTAGCTTCCACATATCAGAAAAAGCATTTGACCATTGGCTTTTTGGGACTGGTTTGTTTCACTTAGCAGGATGGTTTCCAGATCCATCCATTTACTGGCAAATGTCATACTTTCATTCTTCTTTGTGGTTGAGTAGTACTGCAATGTATATATATCACATTTTCTTTATTCATAAATCTTTTGAAGGGTACCTAGATTGGCTCTGTAGCTTAGGTATTATGAATTGTGCTGCTAGAAACATGGATGTGGCTGTGCAATTATAGAATGCTGATTTTAAATCCCTTGGATGTAAACTGAGGAGTGGGATAACTGGGTCAAATGGTAGTTTCATTCCTAGTTTTTTGAGGAATCTCCATACTGCTTTCCAAAGTGGTTGCACCAATTTACAGTCCCACCAACAATGTATGAATGTACTTTTTTCCCTACATCCTTGTCAACACTTATTGTTATTTGTATTCTTGATAATTGCCATTCTGACTGGAGTGAGATGAAATCTCAGTGTAGTTTTAATTTGCATTTCTCTAATTGCTAGAGTGAACATTTTTTCACATATTTGTTGACCATTCACATTTCTTCTTTTGAGAAGGGTTTAGTTCCTTTGCCCATTTATTGATTTTTTTTTTTTTTTTGGTGTTAAATTCTTTGAGTTCTTTGTATATCCTAGATATTAAAGCCTTGAGGAGCAGGTGGCAAAGATTTTTTCCCATTCTGTAGGCTCTCTCCTCATGTTCTTTTTTTGTGGGGTAGCAGGGATACTGGGTATTGAACTCAGGGGCACTTAACCACTGAGCCACTTCCTCAGCCCATTTTTTGTATTTTATTTAGACACAGGGTCTTACTGAGTTGCTTAGGGCCTCAGTAAGTTGCTGAGGTTGGCTTTGAACTTGTGATACTTCTGCTTTAGCCTCCTGAGCTGCTGGGATCACAGGAATGGGCCATCACACCCAGCTGTCCTCGTGTTCTTGATTGTTCCTTTTGCTGTGAAGAAGCTTTTTAATTTGATTCCATCCCATTTATTGATCTTTTCTTTTATTTCTTACACTATAGGAATCTTGTTAAAGAAATCAATACCTGATATGTTGGAGTGTTGGGCCTACATTTGATTCCATCCCATTTATTGATCTTTTCTTGTTGATCAGTGTCTTGCTAAGTTGCTGAGGCTGGCTTTGAACTCATGGTCCTCCTCCCTCAGCCTCCCAAGCCGCTGGGATTACAGGAATGTGTCACTATGCCTGGCTTCTGTCCTTATTCTGTATGTGGGCATTTTCATAATAATATGTCTTGGAGTGGATCTATTGTGATTTTGTATATTTTGAGTCCTACATGCTTCCTATATTTGAATTTCAGTTTCATTCTTAAAGTTTAGGAAATTTTCTGGTATTTCATTGAAAAGATTGTGCATTCTTTTATTTGTATTTCAGAGCCTTCATCTCTTCTGATGAGTCTTAAATTTGGTCTTTTAATGTTATCTCATATTTCTTGAATATTATGTTCATGGTCTCTTAATATCTTTTCTCTGTGGTCAATTTTATTTTCAAGATTGTATTCTTGTCTTGGAGGCCTGAAAATCTGTCTTCAAACAAATCTAGACTATTAGTGATTATTTCCATTGAATTTTTTTAATATTTATTTTTTAGTTGTAGTTGGACACAATATTTTCATTTTATTTATTTGTATGTGGTTCTGAGGATAGAACCCATGGCCTCGGATGCACTAGGCAAACGCTCTACTGCTGAGCCACAATCCCAGCCCATCCATTGAATTTTTAATTTGGTTTATTGATTCTTTCATTTCAAGGATTTCTGTTTGATTCTTTTTCAGAATCTCTATATCTTTATTGAAGTAATCTTTCACTTTCTGTATTTTCTCTCTGATCACTCCTTACATTGTCTTTTATCTCATAGATCTGTTTAATTATGAACTTTCTAAACTCCTTCTCTGAAATTTCCTCCACTGTAGTGTCAGTGAATTCTGTTGAAACATTTTGAGTTGTTTGGGATGGTTTATTCTCTTGTTTTATCTTACTGTTTATATGTCTACCTATCTATCAGTATGGTTTTGACTTCTTTTAAGTGAAGGACTACTTTGTGAGCCTCTTTTTCTTAAGAGCTCTGTGTCATGTGAAAATCCACATAATGAAATTTTAATTCAACATGTGACCTCTGCTGATCCTAATATAAGCCTGAGCCCCATTTACTATAGTCACTTCTGAGCCAGACTTCATTCTTCATTCTTCATTATAGGAACAAAAACTTGTTGCAGTTGATCTTTGCTATTTCTTGTATTCATTTAACCTATAATAAAGTTCTGGAACAGGTCAAAAAATTAATTGTTAAATTTAGTAAACTTATTATACCTTTAAGTGAAGGTTCAAAGGAGGAAGGAATAAGATTGGGCAAATAGAATTAGAAAAAGGAGAGGAAGAAGATATAAAAGGGTAATTTACACCAAGATAGAAAGGAGAGAGAGAGGGATGGGTATTAATTGAGGTTGTAGAGAAGCAGGTATAAACTAGAGCTGGGAAAACAAAGATAGGAAGATTGATTCCAATTAATGCTTTAAACCACTAGATTAAATACATTCAAATGGGTTGTACGTACAATATTGGCTATTGGGTTAACAGTTATTCAAATTAAGGAATTATTTATATGTTCAAAGTTGACTTTAGAGTTGTTTATAGTATACAATATCTAGGTGAAGAAAACTCTTGTTGAATTTGGATTTCATTGGTGTTTGGACATTTAAAAGATGTCCATCAATTTTTGGCTGTGGTTCTCTCCTGAGTTGCATGGGGATGGGGACCAATTTCCTACTTATTATGAATGTCCTTCCATCAGTTTCTGGTTTGTCAGCTCAAGGGCCTTCAGCTGACTGCTTGGATGGCACAGTGTTTCTACTGTGTTTGTATTTCAGGATGTAGGCTCTGGCTTGTCCCTGTGGTTGCTGTATGTCACTGTGCACCCATTCCCCTCTATTGGATGGTTTTCATGGTAGTGAAGGTCTTGGTTCCTGTATGTGGGTACAGGAACTCTGGCTGTGGATCGTCCGCCCATGATCTGTGGTGCAGAAGTATTCCCCCAGCCAATGCTGCTCTCTGAAATACCATAACTTAGAGTCTTCAGTGGTTCACCTGGACTCTAGTTTCCACTGCCCAGGTTGTGAATGTTGTGTGTTGATTCCCTCTGCTTGCTTAGTACAATGCAAAGATCCTTAAATATTCAAATAATTCCTGGTCACTTGCCAGTTATGATCACAGTTCAGGCGGTGTACCTGTTAAAGCTGATATCAGCCTCTTTCTGTTGGGTCTCTGTGCCACTGTATATTCAGACAACTATCCTTCTGGTAGGCCCTGTGATCCTGGCCCTGCAATCCAGATCCTGGGGACTATCCCTGGACTTCCTATGGTGCCTTCCCCCAGTGTCAGTGGTTGGGAGCCTGGTGAATCCACCTTCCTTTGTTAGGGGCCAAAGCTTTGTTGCCTCTGTCTGAGTTGAGCAAGCAACAGAAAGTTCTGCAGAGCTTTTTGCCCTTGCCTGGGTCACAGAGACTGAGCAGGGCTAGATGCACACTTCCGTGAGCCAGGTCCCCTCCAGCCTGCTGTGTTCCCCTTGTTTGCATTGGAGGATTGGGGAGGGCAATTTCAGCAATTTAGAGCTAGTAGTGGTTCTTCTAGAAGTTCTTGTTGGCCAGGTATTTAAGAGGTCCTGCTGCAGGGGACTTCCCTCTGGTTTAGTTTGTAGCTGTCAGACATGGGAAAATAGTGTGCTAATTTAAGAGAGTGACTAGTTGGCTAATGGCTCCCCAGGATGGCTGCAGACCCCTAGCTTTCTTTTCACAATTTGGTTTTAAGCTGTTTGTGCTGTTTTTGTTTGTTTGTTTGTTTGTTTGTTTGTTTTGTATGTAGGGAGGTGGGTGGGGGGTAGGTGGAACAAGAATACCAGGGCCTGAATTCAGGGGCATTCATTTGACAGTGAACTACATCCCCAGCCCTATTTTGTATTTTATTTAGAGACAGGGTCTCACTGAGTTGCTTAGTGCCTCAGTTTTGCTGAGGGTGGATTTGAACATGGGATACTCCTGCCTTAGCCTCTTGAGCTCCTGGGATTATAGGCGTGCATGTTTGTGCTGTTTTAAGGAGCCTTCTGATACAGTTGTGCTTTTAGTTTTGTCTGTCTTTTCAACCATTTTTAAAAGGGTAAGCTTAAGAGAGTGTTTCTTCCCCTCTTTTCTCTCTCTGATGCCCCTATCCTGCTTCTCATCCACCATTTTAGGGTTAGGAGGTGGTTAGGGCACTGTTTGTTTTCTGCTCTGGTACCCTATCTTCCAGTCTCTCCAGGTCTCCAATATTGAGTCTTAGAGCATTTATTTTGTCACCCACCTCTCAATTCTGCCTTTCCTCCACTGCCTCCTTTCTGTGTTTTGAGGAGATCAGGACTCTTGCCTAACTTGCTTCTGCCATCTTCCTCTGGGATTCACCTGAATTTTATTTATTTATAATTTAATTTTATTTATTTATTTATTTATGTGTGTGTGTGTGTGTGTGTGTGTGTGTGTGTGTGTATTAGGTGGACACAATACCTTTATTCTATTTTTTAAATTTTTTTTTAGTTGTAGATGGATACAATACCTTTATTTTGTTTATTTTTACGTGGTGCTGAGGATCCAACCCAGTGCCTCACACACCTGCAAGGCAAGCATTCTACCATAGAAACGCTGTGCCGTCCAAGCAGTCAGCTGCAGGCCCTTGAGCTGACAGACCAGGCCCTCCCCCTGAATTTTTAAATTCTCTTTTAGAGCCTTTTGTGTTTTGTTTAGGAAAATTTCACTAATCAGAGGTTGAAGGCATTCTCCTATATTATTTAAAAAATAGCTTGCTTCATTTTTTTTTTTTTTTTTGCCTTTCACATATAGGTCTTGTACTATCTGAAACTGATTTTTTGAGTATAGTAGGAGGTATAAAGTAGGGGTCCAAGCAGGGCATGGTGGCACATCCTGCCAGCTGAGGAAGGTGAGGCAGGAGGATCGCCAGTTCAAAGCCAGCCTCAGCAAAATCGAGGCGCTAAGCAACTCAGTGAGATCCTGTCTTTAAATAAAATACAAAATAGGGCTGGGGATGTGGCTCAGTGCTTGAGTGCTCCTGAGTTCAATCCCTGGTACCAAAAAAAAAGGGGGGGGGGGTCCAATTTCATTTACTTCCCTTGTAGATACCTAATTGTTCTACCATCATGTTTTTAAAAGACTACTCTTTTCTTCACTGATTGAAAAAGCCACTTTTGGGGGGCTGGGGTTGTGGCTCAGCAGTAGAGCACTCACCTAGCATGTGCGAGGCCATGGGGTTTGATCCTCAGCACCACATAAAGATAAATAAAAAAAGAAATTGCGTTCAACTACAACTAAAAAATAGATATTTTTAAAAATAAAAAAAGCCACTTTTATAATATATGTAAGATTCATATGTATATATACTTGGGTTTGTTTTGAGCTGACATTTCTCTTCTTATTTGTCAATTTTTCTATTCCTATGCTAATACACAGTATCTGCACTCTAGTTATATATGAAATATTAAGTTGTGATGGGAGTAAGTTTTACTTCTCCTTTTTCTTTGAGAGTTTCTTGGTTATCTTGATATTTCATATTTCTGCATCAGATTTAAGTTGGCTTGTTAAGTTCCACAGCAAAATCAGTTTAGATTTAATTGTGTTTGCATTTAATCCATAGATCAATTTAGGGAGAACTCACATTTTTTTAAATGACTGATGCCCTGTCGTTTTTTAAAAAATATTTTTATTAGTTGTTGATAGATCTTTATTTTATTTATTCATATATGGTGCCAAGAATCAAACCCAGTGCCTCCCACATGCCAGGCAAGTGCTCTACTACTGAGCCATAGCCCCAGCACCAGAAATGACATTTTTATAATATTGCATCTTATAACTCATCAGCATGATGAGTTATAAGATGCAAAAACTTCACTTTAGTTTTTTCTTTAGTCTCTCAATAAATATTTTATAATTTTTCCCATAGATGAATCAAAATTACTTTAAAATAAATGGGAATGGGTAGGCTAAAAGGAAAAGGATACAAAAAAGTAAGGGGACAAACTTCATCAACATGGTCAGAAATTGAAAGGGAACATATTTTCATTTTCTTTAAAGTCCTCAACTGCACACCTAAACACTTAGCCTATGATTTCATTTTCTAATTTTAGAAGATGTTGGCTATACATCTAGAGCTCTTCAGTTGTTCATTTGTGGTGTGACTCAGCACAGAATTTGTTTATCTTTCATTCTTTACTTAATCCTGTATATCTGAGAAAGGAGTGTCCCTAGGAGTAAGATCAGTGCTAATCCATCCATGAGTACTTCAAGTCCAGTATGGTTGAGATATTGTAATTAAAAATGCACTCCTATTTAGAGTCTTCCTTGACATTCATTCCCTTTGATCAACCAATGACTGATGCCCTGGCAAATTAACATCCAATTTTCTACTTGAAGCATAAAATGTAAAAATAATTAATTGTTCTCATAATTACATTACTTGAAATGAGAATTTTGTGACTTTTGACAGATAAGGCCACTTTTTTGTCTGAGCTTCTCTGACCTGCTACTGGGAATTTGCTGGCTTACTGAGGCACTTCTCTATGGAACTTCAATAGCCAATAAGGACATTATCTGCTATAACTTGCAAGCACTTGGACAGGTAAGCATTACTAGACTGACCACACCTTGAAAGTAAGGCATACTCAGGGTAGGAAGCAAAGGAAGCAAGAGTGATCCATCGTGGGAATGGAGACCAATTTGTTTATTGTTACACTTTGAAACCATACCTTTTATCTTTTTTGTCTAAAAAGAACTATTTATTTATCATAGAAATTTTGGACAATTCCAAGAAGCATAAGGGTAGATTAGGTAATTAAAAAATCAGCCAGCTATAATCACGCTTTAATATTTTAAATATATATCCTTATGATTATTTTCTGAATATATATATATATATATATATACTTGTTTAAATATTTTTATTAATTGTTGATGGACCTTTATTTTATTTACTTATTTATATGCAACCCAGTGCTTCACATATGCTAGGCAAGCACTCTACCACTGAGCCACAACCCCAGGCCTCAATGTATATTTTTAAATATATAAAATAAGCTAGGCATGATGGCACATGCCTGGAATCCCAATGATTTAGGAAGCTAAGGCAGGAGGATTGCAAGTTTATATATAATGCCAAGAATCAAACCTAGGCAAGTGCTCTACTGCTGAGCCATAGCCCCAGCCCCAGAACTGACATTTTTATAATATTGCATCTTATAACCCATGAGCATGATATATCTCTTCCTTTAGTAAATGTTGCTAGGATTATAGGCCCAAGCTGTTATGGAATATTTTTCTACAACATCTTTTGAAATGACTGCATGGTTTTGTATTATGGGAATATAATACACATCAGGTTTCAAAAATACCACAGATAATCATATAATGGGTCATATATGTAACTTTCAGGATTTTTTTTTTTTTAAGTGCTGGAGATCAAACCCAGGCCTCATGCATGCTAGGCCAGCACTGTGCTGTTGAGCTTTTCCGCCAGCCCCTTCTATGGATTTTATCGATGCAGTAACCTGCATAGTACCCTTAGTATATGACCCTTATAATTTCTGAGACTCACAGTGTGAAAAAAGTAGAGATTAAAATGCAGTGTATACCCATTGCTGGGTATTTCTTCTAGAATTTGTTATTAGAGGAGAGATTTCTTTCAATTTAGTAGGAGGCTGAGCATCCCTAATTTAGAAATCTGAAATGCACCAAAATCTGAAACTGTGGAAAATTCCACACCTCACCTCATGTGATAGTTTGCAATAAAAATGCAGATACATTCAAACATGTAAAACTTTTGTATAAAATTATCTTTGAGCTTGTATAAGAGGTGTATATGAAACAAACAAATTTCATGTTTAGACTTGTGTGTGTCCATAACATATCTTCTTATATATGTGGAAATATTCTAAAATCTGAAAAATTTCAGAATCCTAAACATCCCCAGGTATTTCAGATAAAGGACACTGAACCTATAATATGTAATTGATGGTATGAAGTTTATGCATTGATATTACGTATTTTATTTTATTTTATTTTATTTTATTACTGTATTTTATGAGTTTAAAATGCCTTGGAGACATAGTTTGCTCAATTCTGCTAATAATTTCATGAGTTAAGACTAAAGCCATATTATTTTTTCATAAAAAGAAATTGTAATTTTAAAAAATTATTTAAAAATCCTGTATTAGAATCCTGGACCGTTAATAATAACACTATCTTTTTTGATGTAGATTTGACTAATCTTACCTTTTTTTTTTACAACTGTATTGAGCTACATGTACAATAAATTATATGTATTTTTTTTAAAGAGAGAGTGTGTGTGTGTGTGTGTGTGTGAGAGAGAGAGAGAGAGAGAGGGAGAGAGAGGGAGAGAGAGAGAATTTTTTAATATTTATTTTTTAGTTTTCGGCAGACACAACATCTTTGTTTGTATGTGGTGCTGAGGATCGAACCCGGGCTGCACGCATGCCAGGCTAGCATGCTACCGCTCGAGCCATATCCCCAGCCCAAAATTATATGTATTTAAGGTGTACAATTTGATCAGTTTTGATATATGCATAACATCATGAAATCATCACTACATTTCAAGATAGCAAACATTCCTATTTTCAGCACCCCTCAAAATTATTTACAATGTGTTTTCCTTGACCTCATGGAGTATTAACTGATTTTAAAAATACTTACTGATATTTTCAATATCTGGTCACTTCTAGTCTGTTGATTGTCTTTCCCCATGATAATGGGTCACATTTTCCTGTTCATTGTATATCAAGTAATTTAGGATTGCATCTTAGACACTGTGAGTACTGTGTGACATATACTCTGGGTCCTTTTATAACTTTCTGGAGATTGCTGGTGTTTTTGTTTTGTAGGCATTCAATCTGATTAGGTCAAGAATATAAATTCACATCACCATATGTGGAAGTGTTTTAACTGTATCTCATTCTGTAAGCCTTGACTTTGCTGATTTGGTATTGTCATACACATGCATGATAGAGGGGTTAGTTTGAGACTTGTGTAGGATTCACACACAAAATTAAGGCATGCTCTTTTCTGACTCTCTCACTTGTGGGATTCCTTCCATACATTCCTGCCTAAAAGGAACTCTTTCTGCCATATACTGTGGCACACATCTGTAATACTTAGAGGCTGAGACAGGAGGATCACAGATTTGAACCCAGCCTCAGCAACTTACTGAACCCCTAAGAAACTTGACAAGATCCTATCTAAAAATAAAACATTTAAAAAAAAAAAGACTGGGGAGGGCTGGGGTTGTAGCTCTGGAGTTGTAGAGCACTTGCCTCTCAAGCATGAGGCACTGGTTTAATCCTCCGCACCACATAAAGATAAATAAATAAAGATACTGTGTGCATCTACAACTGAAAAAAAAAAAAAAGATGGGGTATGGCTCAGTGGTAAAGCACTCCTGGGTTAAATCCCTAGTACCAAAAAAAAAAAAAAAAAGACTCTTGTCCTAAGGGAGTATTTATTAGAATTTTAGGTGTCTTGACTAGGGTTTACACTGGAGGCAGTCCAGTGGGGTGGAGGGGTGTGTAAAAATTTGGGAGATTCACTTCTATGTACTTCACTTAAGTTTGACTTCCACAAACCACCTGTTTTTCTTTACTTTTTAGAAACTCAAGGACGTTTTTTATATTTCTCTTAGATTTCTTATTTGTAATCAGAGGCAAGGATGAACTAGAGAAGGTTTAAACACAATAGCTTATTTTGTTCATTTGGTTTGTATTTATTTATTTATTTGTTTGTTTGTTTGTTTATTTATTTATTTTGATACCAAGGATTGAACCCAGGTTCTTTCAACCACCGAGCTACATCCACAGCCCTTTTCTGTATTTTATTTAGAGACATATTCTTACTGAGTTTCTTAGGACCTCACTAAGTTGCTACTGGCTTTGAACCTGCGATCCTCCTGTCTCAACCTCCTGAGCTGCTGGGATTACAGGCGTGTGCCACCATGACCAGCTTGGCATTTAAAATTTTTTAAAAAATTGAGATAAAATATGGGCTGGGATTGTGGCTCAGCGGTAGAGTGCTCGCCTCATATGCACATGGCCCTGGGTTCGATCCTCAGCACCATGTAAAAATAAATAAGTGAAATAAAGGTATTGCGTTCAACTATAACTAAAAAATAAATTTAAAAAATTGTGATAAAATATATAAAACATAACATTTGTGATGTTAACCTTTGTGCATGAGTATATATGTGTTGTTAGTTACTAGGAATTGAACCCAGGGCCTTGTACATGCTAAGCTAGCACTTTACCACTGAACTATATCCCTAGCCCCACCTCACTCCTTTTTAAAAAAATTTTGAAACACTATCTCACTAAATGTTCAGAGTGGCCTTACACTTGCGATTTTCCTGGCTCAGCCTTCTGAGTAGCTGAGATTATAGGTAAAGGCCTCTATGTGTATCTAATCTTAATCATTTAAAGTGATTTTAAATATCCATGTTGTGCATCCTGACTAGTATTGTCTCCAGAACTTTACTGCATTCAGTTTCTTTTTTCTCAAAGTAGACCAAGATGGAGCAACCAGAACCATTCAGGGAGAGAAGGAGGGAGTTCCCCAAAGCAAAAGGGGCAGCTGCTGGGACAGCCCTCAGTCTCTCCCTTTATTCACAAGAATAGCTTCTCCGATTAGACTCAAGGCAAACCTAGCCTTCTTCTAAGTCTCCAGCAGTTGGCTCAACAGTTTTACCAGCCACCTTGCATCCTGAACTTGGAAGTGGGATTGCTTGGAGAACCAGGTCTGACCAAGAAAGTTGGAGTAGGGACTGTTCTCATATCCCATTCTTGGGTGCCAGTTTGTTACTGAAAACTCAGTCCTTGTCCTCAGTGCCAACCAAGGATGAGGACACAGTTTTAAGAAAAAGGGAAAAATGAAGTTTTTTTTCTTTGCTAGCCAAGGAGAAACACAGGGGACTTCTGTCCCAGAGGCTGTGATTCTCTCTTATTAGGATTAAAAACATATATATATAAAAACATATATATATATATGTATATGTATATGTATGTATGTATTTCAGTTGTAGGTGGATACAATACCTTTATTTTATTTATTTGTACATAGTGCTGAGGATCGAACCCAGGGCCTCACATATGCTAGGCAAGCATTCTACCGCTGAACCACAAACTCAGCCCATTTTTTAAAATAGGTTTGTCATGGCTGTGTCCTCCCCAGTCCATTTTGCTAAGATCAGATATTGATAAGATTTGTTTTTAGTTTGTTGTTCTGTTTGTCTAGTGAGGGATGATTGTAGGAAGGATCTCAGATTAGGGATTGTTCCTGAGGTAGCCATTTGAGAGATATTATAATAGAGGATATCTGGGAGGGTAGCCACAATAGCATAATTACCTCATGATTACCTTGTGGCCAGAGTATACCTGGTCACCACATGAAAAGCTAAATCTTATTCCTCTAAGATGTACTACAGTTGTGGGTCCTTGAATCCAAGCCTTGATGTATACAGTTTATATACATAGGTCCCCAGGGTCTATAAGTGGATGCCAGGAACTATTTTGTTTGTCCTGGGGTCTCATGCCTGAGAAGTATTCATCTACACACAGAGGAGACTATAACTTTTGGCTAGTGTCATATATTTTGGCAAAGTATGTTTCTAAACCTGAGTTGGATAAGATTGTTTTCAGGAACTCTGGAGGTATGGTTTGTATTGGTAATATTGAGAAGGAAATCAGTATGTTGTTCTATACCTATGAATTTTTTATTAGTGGCTGAGCTGTTAATAGGAGTGAGAAAGTTTCATTAGTATACAATTTTGTATCATTGAGAACCTTAACCTCCCCCCATGTTAGGGTAACATTGTGATAATAGACATTAAACTCATTGTTTTTATTGGATTTATGAGGTTCCCATTGTGGTTTTCAATCTGGACTATTAAAGACTGAGGTGTAGTTATGTAAGTTAAATTTTTCTTTTTTGAATTTTTTAATATTTTATTTTTTTGTTTTCGGTGGACACAACATCTTTTTTGGTATGTGGTGCTGAGGATCGAACCCGGGCTGCACGCATGCCAGGCGAGTGCGCTACCTCTTGAGCCACATCCCCAGCCCAAATTTTTCTTATTTTTAAAAAATTTAAATTTTTTAAAATTTTAAATTTATGTTTACATATAATTTTAAATTACATTAACATACAGATAGAATGTTACGTTTACATCTAATACATGCTGTTATATACATGACAGGTATGTTTTTAACATAGAGGCATGAGAACTATGCTCTAAAATGTTTCGTATAAAACAGACATTTTTTTAAAATATTGAATACAGTTGGGAAGAGGTCAAGATATTAACATGGCATATATTTTAGGTTAAATATAATTCTAGATGCATTGCATATTATTTGTTTTATAGTATATAATGTCTATATTTTATGTATCTCTGTCCATATTTATATGTTCATACTGGAGAATTAAACTGAAATTATCCTCATAAACTAATTTGTTTTTTCTGTCTCATTCTACTGTCTTTCCCATCCCCATAGCCCCACTCCTCCCCTCATTCCCTCTGCACAATCCAAAGTTCCTTCATTCTTTCCTACTCCCCCCACCACACAGTGTGTACTATGGATCAGAGAAAACATTTGGCCTTTGGTTTTGGGGGAATTGGCATATTTCACTTAGCATGATGTTCCCTGGTTCTATCCATTCACCTGAAAATGCCATAATTTCATTCAACCACTGAACCACATCCCCAGCCCTATTTTGTATTTTATTTAAGATAGGATCTCACTGAGTTGCTTAGGGCCTCACTAAGTTGCTGAGGCTGTCTTTGAACTCATAATCATACTGCCTCAGCCTCCCAAACCACTGGGATTACAGGCATGTGCCACCATCCCTGGCTCATTTTTCTTTAAGGCTGAGTAATTTTCCATGTGTATATGTACCACATTTTCTTTTTCCATTCATCTGTTGGAGGGCACCCACTTGACAGGAGCTACCATCAAACTTCAGACAACCCCACCTATTGGCAGAGAAGGGAAGCTGAGAAAATTTTCAAAGCCAATGGAAACTATCCTTCAATTTTCCACCGAGACTTTCTTTCTCTCTCTCTCTCTCTCTTTCCTCTCTCTCACATCTTTGAATTCAAATGTTTTTCATGCATCAATTTATTGAGGAATGGTATGTCTGAATAGTATATTACAGTTTTGTTGTATACCTTATATTTTTACTTTTTAAAAAATCTATATTTATTTTTCTCTTACCTGTCTCCCTGGATTCTCTTTCTCACTTCTTTCATACTAATAGCCAACCTCTATTAATTCCTCCTTTGATCTTACTATAAATTTTTATCTCTACTCTCCTTTTCCTTCATAAACATCGCATCTTACACTACTTCTTCCTTTATTGTCCATCATTAGAAATGGTAAACCCTTTAGCAAACTTACTGTTTATATTGTAGACAATATCAGAACACATAATTTCTGTTTATTACACCTTAATAGGATCTATTTGGTTTAAAGGTGTATATTGTTTGCATTGGGTGCTGTTAATATTGGTCTCCCCCTTAAATTGTTGTGCAGTTACCACTTCTGTCTAGTTCTAAAACAATTTCATCATTCAGAAAGGAAATACAGCAAGGCTTGGTAGTGTGCACCTATAATCCCAACTACTCAGAAGACTAAGTCAAGAAGATTAATAAATTCAAGGCCAGCCTGGACAATTTATTGAAACCCTGTTTCAGAATAAAAATTTATAAGGGTTAAGGATGTAGCTAAGTGGTAAAGTGCCCCTAGGTACAATTCCTAGTAGAGAGAGAGAGAGAGACAGATAGACAGAGACAGAGACAGACACACTGACTGACTCAGAGAGACTCTGACTGACTTATCAATTTGCAGTTGCTCCTTACTCCCATCTCCCCCCAACCCTGGCAACTATGAATTTGCCTTTGTCCCTATGGATTTACCTCTTCTGAAAATTTAATATATAAGTGGAATAATATTGACTTGGAATAGGCATGACTTTTTGTGTCTGGATTCTTTGACTTAGGATAATGCTTAAAAAGTTTATCTTCATTTTAACATGTACATTTCCATCATATATGTATACCAGTTTATTTACTTATTCATCCGATCCATCCATTGATTGATATTTAATCTGTTTCTACCTTTTTATCATTGTGCACATTGCTGCTATGAACATGTGTTTATAGCAAAAAATCTTATTTTGGACACTGGGTATTTAATCCAGCGGTGCTTTACCACTGAGCTATATCTCTAGCCCTTTTTATTTTTGAGAGCGAGTCTTGCTAAGTTACTAGTTACTTTACTATGTTGCTGAGGCTGACCTCAAATTTGTGATCTTCCTGCCTCATCCTCCTGAGTTACTGGGATTACTGGCATGTGCCACCATGCCCAACTTTTTTTTTTTAGTTCCTTTCCATCATTTCAAAATGGAATGACTGCATCATTTGGTGATTCTATGTTAAGCTATTTGAGGAAGGACCAACAGCAGTTCAGCTAATATTTACATTCCCACCAGCAATGTACTAAGATCCCTCCTTCTCCACATCCTCTCTGGTGCTCATTGTATCTCCTTGTGTATATGTTTATTTCATTTCCTTTTTGTTTGTTTGTTTTGGGTATGGAGGATTGAACCCAGGGACACTTTATATCTCTAGCACTATTTGTTTGTTTGTTTATTATTCAATTTGATTTGTATTTCCTAATGATTAGGAGTGTTGAACATCTTTCCCTGTGTTATTGGCCATTTGAATACCTTGTTTGACTGTAAGTTTATTCAAGTTCTTGATCCATTTTTTAATTGGTTTTTTGTTGAGTTTTATGATATTTTTAAATATATTCTGAATACTAGACTGTTATCAAGATATAAGATTTTTAAATTGTACTTTCTCCCATGCAGTAGGATCTTTTCACTTTCTTGATAATATTCTTTGATGCATAAAATTTGAAAAATTATTGTTTTTAGTTTTAATTCACACAACATAAAATTAACCATTTTAAAATGAGCAGTTCAGTGGCTTTAGTACTTCACAGTGTAGTGAAAATATTGTCTAGATAGTAAGAGGATAGAAGCATACTCTGTTTTTTTTAGGGTACAAGGGATACTGGGGATTGGACCCATGGGCTAGTAACTACTGAGCCACATCCCCAATCCTTTCCATTTTTATTTTGAGACAGGGTCTTGCTAAATTGCTGAGATCTTTACTAAGCAAATGAACTTGGAATCCTCTTGCCTCAGCTTCCCATGTTTCTGGGATTACAGGCATGTGTCACTGCACATGGCTTTGGGTGTGATATTTAGAGATGAGGCCTTTAAGAAATGGTTTGGCTTTATAAGTAAAGGAAGAGTGACGCAGATGCAGACATGTGTGTTCCCTATCTCTTGCTGTGTTGCTCTAAGCCATCCCAGAATTCTGCCACCAAGAGGATCATTGCCAAATGTGATCCCTAGACCCTTTACCTCCAGAACTATGAGCCAGAATAAATCTCTTTTCTTCAAAAGTAGCCCTCCTTAGAAATGTTGTTATAGTAATGAAAAATGGACTTTTATAGCTACAACTATTAAAAATGGAAATCCTTATTGCTTTTTTAATTAAAAATGTAATGGAGATGGGCACAGTGGTGCACACCTGTAATCCTAGCAGCTTGGGAGGCTGAGACAGGAGAATCCTGAATTCAAAGCCAACCTCAGCAAAGGCAAGGCGCTACACAACTCAGTGAGACCCTGTCTCTAAATAAAATACAAAATAGGGCTGGGAATGTGACTCATTGGCAGAGTGTTTGCCTATCATGCACAAGGCCCCTAGTTTCAGTATTTAATACTGAAAAAAAAGGAAAGTGGAACAGTTAGATGAGGAGAGAGGTAGATAATCCTATGGTTCTTCTGAACAATCAAAAGGATAAAATAAAGAAGTTGGGCATGTTTTAAGTAGGCCTGGGTAGAATTCCTGGGAATGATTGATTTACGTGATATGTATACTAGATGGTATGTTACTAATAAGCCTACAGGTAGGATTCTCATATTGGAAAAGAATGAAATAAATTTAAGGAAGAGAGGGACAGTTATGATGGATTGTTTTAATTTTTAACCTAGACACTCTACATTTCCTCATTTCTCTACATTGTCAATTACATCTGGTATTTGTGCACAGAACTAAGGATGAGACACAACCAGATTGGACAGAACACATCTCCACTGGTAAGTTTATTCAGAGTCAGAGCTTATATTTAAGAATACTATGCTAAAATAAACTCACGTTTCTCTCATAAACAGTATTACACTAAGCACTTGCTAATTGAATTCGTGGAGATTAATAAATGTAAAACTTGTTTCCACACAATTGTCCATTTTATTGACATTACTTCTTCTCCATTTCCTTATACATATACACAAAAAGTTTTATTATGAGAAATGTTATTTACAGTACTGCCTTTCCTGCCTTGTTTGATTAAGTATGGGAAATCCTTGTCTTCATGCCATCCATCATTGTTACCAGAGTAAAGAAAATGGTCTTGGAAGACTGGGTGTAACTCAGTGGTAGAGCTCTTGCCTAGAATATGAAAGGCCTTGGATTCTACCCCCAGCACTGCTTAAGAAAAGGGGGGGAAAAAGGTCCTGGAGAATAGTCAAGGAAGTGCTGTCTATTAACATAAGATTTGGGATTACAGGCATTAGAGAGGGTAAGTGTTCTGCAGTGCTATATTTCTTCAGTATGTGTGGGTGATTATATTGACTTGTTGAAGTGCTAAGAAATTAAATGTGTGGTAGTCCGAACACAAGATGAATCCAGAACACTGTCGTCTTTCCTTCTTTAATTCACAGAGTTTGGGGCACTCTCCAGCATTACAGTGATGAGAAGAGAATGCTAAGTCAGTGCATCTGGATTCTCTTCATGTGTGTGCATATTTTATATATCACATAATTCATTGATTTTAAATATACAATTAAGTGATGTTTTAAATCAATTTCAGAATATTTTCTTTATCCCAATTAAATCTTTCATGCCCTTAACCATGAATCCCTTTGTCACTCTCTGCTATAGGTAATCACTAATCTACTTTCTGTTTCTCTAGACGTGCCTTTTCTGGACCTTTCATATAAATTCAATAATACCGTATGTGGTCTCTTGTGTTTCTGTGGTTTCTTTCACTTAACATAGTGCATGTATAAATAATTCATTCCTTTTTATTGCTTAATAATATTTCCTTGTATTGTAAAAATTGAGTTTTTTTATTTCTGATTCTTTCAATATCACTAAGCGATCCTGCAGATGACATTTTTATGATGTTAACATTTCTTCTTGGGGCAGGGGTACTAGGGATTTAAACCGGGGCAATTTACCACTGAGCCACATCCTCAGCACCCCCGTCCCTCTTTATTTTGAGATAGTGTCTCACTAAGTTGCTTAGGGCCCTGCCAAGTTGCTGAGGCTGGCCTTGAACTTGCGATCCTCCTGTCTCAGTTTCCTGTGCCCATACGATTACAGACATATGTCACTACGTGTGGCTCAATTTTTATTTCTTTTAAAGTCTTATGTATTTTAATCTTACTATATGTATCTTACTAAATATTTTAATCTTATATCTGTGGTATTTGTTCTGCTACTTTTTTTTTAAGGGAAATTTTCATTAAGAACATGATAGAAAGCTGGGGTGGTAGAGTGCTTGCCTTGCATGTGTGAAGCATTGGGTTCAATTGTCAGCACCATATAAAAATAAATAAAGGTCCATGAACAACTAAAAAACATTTTTTTTTAAAAAAAAAAGAGCATGATAGAGTAAAAGTATCTGAAAGCCTTCTAACATCTTTTCCCAGAGTCTGCAATCACTTCTAGAACAAATGAAAGTGATATCCTGTTAGGTACATGATGAAATTCAATAAATATTTTTTTAAAGAATAAATGGGAAAGACCCCTGGCTATATATGCATATACATATTTGTTTGCATATAGAATCTTAGGAAAGGGTATTTGAGGTAAATTAGGAGATTTATCTTTTAGGTTGTGTTCTAGCTGCTTACCTCCTATATGACCTTAAGCTAATCATCTTTTTTATTGAGCCTCAATTTTTCATCGTAAAATGAAGCAGTGCTAAGGTTCTATGAAATCTTCATCTGACTTCAAGAAATTTATTTTTAATAAGAAACTCTTTTTTTTATTAACTACATTTTTCCAAATAGATAAATAATTCAATTTCTAAAGAATTATTTTGCATCATGAGAAAGATATTACCTTGTTCTAGCACTCGGGAACATTTTGGTGAGGTGACGTTCTGGTAACCTGTAGCAGTGACTTTCCAATTTTTCTTGACCACAGCAGTTTGAGCAATTCAGTCCCTGGTCCTCCTACTCCATAGCTCTGGGCCCCAAAGTGAGGTAGAATATCATGTCTGAAGGGCATGGCAGAGGGAAGCAGCTCAGGACATGGCAAATTGGAAGCAGAAAGAGAGCTGACTCACTTCTTAAGAAGTGATATTTATCTTTCTTTTTTCTAGCCTTGTTCAAGATACTCACTGTTGAAGAAAGATAGGGTAGAGAATGTTTTTAAAAACCCTCCCTCTCTTCCTCTCTTTCTTCCTCCCTCATTCTCCCTCCCTCCATTCTCATTGCTATAAATCGAAAGGATACAAGGAAATCATTGAAAAATTAACATAAAGAGGTCCCTTAAACAGCATCCTGAACAAGATACTACAGTAAATAAAAGAGCTGTTCAATAAAACTTTTTGTAATAATCAAAATATTTTATTCACTGTCCAGTTCAGTCATTACTAGCCATATGTGGCCACTGAGCACTTGAAATGTGACTAGTGAGAGTGAGGAACTGAATTTTAAATTTTATATAATCTTCATTTTATTTTAACTAGCTACATGCATCTAGTTGCTTCTATACAGCCCAGGACAATATTCTGGGACCTTTTTCTTATGTTTACCTCTTGACATTTAACTTATAATTACTCTTCTGTATCTTTAATTTATATGGTTTCCTTGCTCCTTACAAGTTAGTAAGGACCCATGCTATTTATCCTTTTACATATCTGTCTTCATAATTCTAGAATTCTAGAACTAAAAGGTACTACAAAGAAACAATTCATTTTCTTCTCTTTAGGTAGGTGAATGCATACAAAGTTCAACAGCCTTACAGGATTAATATTTTTTTAATTGTTGATTGACCTTTATTTACTTACTTATATGTGGTGCTGGGAATCAAACCCAGTGCCTCACACATGCTAGGCAAGTGTTCTATCACTGAGCCACAGCCCCAGCCCCAAGGATTAATATTTTACATTTTTATTTTCATTCATTAATTTACTAATTCACTCAAAGCCAAGGGACTGATTGGAATTTGTGAGCAGTTATTTAGTCACAAAGTAATTTCCTGAAGAAGATGCTCTGAGACCAGAAGCCAAGGATGGAGACAATATGGGGGAATGTTTCTGAGAGGAAGAAATTAATTTTTGAAGGAAAAATTGGAGAGATGTAAGATTAGCTCTCATATAGATGTTCTGCTTTCTATGCACACAGAGGTACATACTACTCTTTATAACCCAAGCAATGTCATTAGTTTCAAGGAGTCAAACTCTAAAGTACTAACCCCAGTGCTTATTATTCTGCCATTATAGCTGTATACTAAGAACTGCCAAGATCTTTTTTTTAACCTTTTAATTCTTTTTAAAAATACCCTAGCAAGATTTCTGCCATAAACTACTAGCAGTAAGCTTTTTATCAGATATTCATTACCAGGTAAGAGTAATAATTAAAGAGCATGTAGCCACCTGACAGAGTAAAAAGAGGAGAAGGGAAGCTGGTAGAAGAAGTCACTACAAACTAATTTATATTTCCCTCAAGTCAACAATAACTGTCCTACTTAAAATCGTTGCTATTCCTGATCCAAACTTCTCAAGGACGATCAGTGACCATTCTCTAATTATGATTAATTGCTCACTTAATGCTTATTTATTGTTAATGACTATTCCACAATGTATATGTTTATACCTTAAAATAGAAAGAAAAAGGCTTTCTATTTTGTTACCTATTTAAGGTGTTGTGTTCAAAATCTTTCATCCTAAAGTCCTATTAGGTAGAAATGATTCCTCTTTTAGATGGATTTATCTTTTAGATGTTTTACAGTATCTGAGTTTTTGTTTGTTTTGTAGTGCTGGCCTTGTGTATGCTAAGCATGGACACTACCACTGTGTTACATGCCCAGCACAAGTAGAGTTTTTAAGTGTTCTGTCTTTTAGAATCTAAGTCTCATATCCAAAGAGCTTAACGATTCTGCACTATTTTATTAACACTTGCTGCTGGTCATCTTATACATAGAGCTTCATTGAACCCATAATGCTCTGAAAACACCCACACATTTCTGAGTCTAAAATAGAAAAAGATGGAACTATTATTAAATGATGGAGGGTTACTGTGTGATCTCATATTTGCCTTTCTTCCTAAGAAAATTTGTCTGAGTACTCAAATCGTAAGCTACTTCCTGCAGCCTTTCTTTTGACTTTTTTTATTTTATTTATTTATTTTTTTGGTACTAGGGATTGAACCCATGGGCTTACAACCACTGAGCCACATCCACAGCTCATTGTTTATTTTGAGACAGGGTCTTGCTAAGTTGCTGAAGCTGGCTTTGAACTTGTGATCCTCCTGCCTCAGCCTTTCAAGGCACTGGGACTATAGGCACTGTGCCCAGCTTGTTGTTATATTTGTTTTAAAATATAATAATACAGATGAAATTCTATCATTTACAATGCTAAGGAATTATCTGTTTCCTGAATTCTATAGCAAATGTTGCTTGACAGAATAAATTGGCTCTTAGAATCCTTTTTATTCTATTGAGTGGTATATGATGATCTGGTATTTATTGTAATGTGATTTGCAATGTCATAAGACAATTTTACATGTGTTCTTTTCACAGGTAACAGATTCTACTTGCCGAGTTGGTCAAATCACCTTCATTTTTTCAAGGTAAGATTTTTTCTTTCCATCTTATTAAGGAATATATTATCATTATTCAAGTGCCCAAGTACGAAGAAATAGTTGGTGTCCTGTATTTCCATTGTCACTCCTAAGTCATCACAGACTCTTACTGAGTAGGAAGCAATAAATATGTGATCATTGGTTCTGTTTTCCCACATAGACTGGAAAATCAGTTTTCTATTACAGAGTTGGGTTTTAGCCCTAGTTCTACCATCAATTCAATGTGATCTTGTACAAATTTCTTTGAGTTTTGGATCTCCACATTCCTTTTCTTATAAGTTGTTAAAGAAGGTCTTCAAGATCTTATCCACTTTAAAAACATTGGTGAGACTATTAGAATTATAAAGTCCAGAAAGGGTCTGGATCTCACCTAAAGTGGCAGTCACATCAGGGTTAATTTTAGCCTTTGTAACATTTGCTCCTAAATCTTTATCTCTTACAGGGAGTCTGCTATATTTGGCTGGATAAATAGCTGCCTATTTAATGGTATACTTTGGGAAAGCACTCAGGAAGGGGCTAATGAGAATGAAGTTATTCCTGGCCACCATGAAAAGTGAAACAGGCTGCACACAAAGCTCCTTGGTAGATTTTCCTTTCATTTTTGACCACTTAGAATTTTGTCTGACCATATAATACCAGAGATTCTCTGGATACTCTATTAGGGTTCATTAACCTAAGTATGAAATCCTTTTCCTGCTGTACTTTCCCAGGAACTAAAAAGTAAGGATACTTAAGGTATTCAAGGTATTTTCTTGAAAAATTAAGTGTGTATATATTTGTGGATATCAGTGGGGTGGTACAGTTGGGGTTGGGAGGATATTCTGAAAAAGGGGAAAGACATGAAACTGCTGGATATTGGGATGATAACTTTTTTCCTCCCAGCCTGATACCTCTACTATTGATGACACCTGTGTTCTGTCTGGGCAACGACAGTGAATGTTTCCACAACTTCAGTCAGAACAACAGGTAAGAAGTGATCAAAACTATCATTTTCATTGTGGATTACATGTGTTCTTTTTTATAATAAACCTAGAGAAAAGACTTTTTACATACCTTCTCTCCAATGTGGAAAAGGGCTATTGGAAAAGGACTGTGAAACAAGGTATAGTCAAGACTAAAAATACACAAGTAAAAGTATAACACAAAGTGAATACAAGATAATGTATCTGTGGGAAGGAATAAAATCTTATGGATAAGAGCACAATGATAAGGGGGCTGGGGTTGTGGCTCAACAGTAGAGCGTTCACCTAGCACTTGGGAGGCCTTGGGTTTGATCCTCAGCACCATAAAAAATAAATAAATAAATAAATAAATAAAAAGGTATGTGTTCAACTACAATTAAAAAATAATTGTTTTTAAAAAGAGCACAATGATAAGTGCAGTTACATATTCATTAACTTTTGTTGCACTGAGTGAGTATCTCATGTCTGACATCTATAGTAGTACTCCTGTCCATTGATTTTTTTTTTCCCAGGTGTATCCTGATGTTTTCACCAGCATCAGTCATGGCTGAACTCCTGCCTTCTGCCAATACATCTGTCTGTAACATACTTTATTTTTATAGTATCACCATTTTCTTGGCTAGCTTTTTGCTCAGCCTTCTAACTATTATGGTATGGTATTACTCTCCCTACCTTTGTGAAAAGGGGGGACTAGAGGGAACAGGCCAATACTCCTAGGGCCTGGGGAAGATAGGCCAGAGAGTTACTTCCTATGGTCCTAGTACCAAGAAAATGTTCAAGAGATCTTATAACAATGTAATTACACCACCTCAGTTTTTTGGGTGTCCTAAAATCAGATGATGAGTGTGGAAAAAGAGCTTGTTTGGGAGCAGAGGCAAGAGGATTATGAGTTCTAGGCCAGCCTCAACAATTTAGTGAAACCCAGTCTCAAAACAAAAAGTAAAAGAATTCACTTCATGAAAATTATGTTTACTCTAGAATATATGTTTTGTTGATCCCCATGGAGGAGCGACCAGAAAACTCATGATTCAAGTATATCCTTTATACCAGAATGACATTCTAGAACATAGGACATTGCTTTGATATAATTTTCCAAATAATGAAAGAGTGTTCTTATTTTTTTTTAGCCACCATAAGTTCACACTTATATGTCTAACTGGGGTTTAAATGCTAAGTGATTTATGCAGTTATCATGTACTTATTTGATATCACCAGAATGATGTAGAATTAAAATGATCAGCCAAGTGATAGTAAGTTGTGTATGCATAACTGCTTGCTACAGAAGCAGTATCACCTGTGAGGCAGATATAATTATGGGGAATTTCCTTTGACCTTTAAAAATTAGTTATGGAGATAGCTCAGCCCAGATCAGTAAATTTTTAAAGGTCAATTAGTTTATATTAAAATGGATTAGATGGCTTACATTTGGAATGGATTGACAATAAAGATGGTCCCCCGCCCCAAAGGCTTGGAATTCTGAAAATTCTTTATTGCTGGTTAGAGTAGCTCAGGCTTCAATGGACATTCAGAATTAGCATTCTAGATTATTTTTAAATGAACAGATAATTAGACATAAATATTCTCATTTAAGTTCAGGCCTCCTTTTGATTCTTCTGTTTGTAGGGAAAGAAGACTCTGGCTGCATTTGATTAAGAGATTGAGTTATTATAGAATTGATTTGATTTGTTAAGGCAAAGATTCAAGTTTGGGAAGGTTTTTTGTTTGTTTATTCTTGTTTTCGGTACTGGAATTGAACTCAGGGGCATTCAACCACTAAGCCACATCCCCAGCCCTATTTTGTATTTTAATTAGAGACAGTCTCACTGAGTTGCCTAGCACCTCACTTTGCTGGCTTTAAACTTGTGGTCCTCCTGTCTCAGCCTCCCAAGCTACTAAGATTATAGACATTTGCCACAGCATCTGGCTTAGGGCTTGCTTTAAACTTCTTGAGTATATTATGATTTATCTTGGTGGGAAGACTGAGTAATTTTCCAGATAATTTTCTCTCAGAAAAAGCCTGGTCTCAGCAGGTAAAACCTGTTGCAAGATACTTAGAGAAGGATCCTTCTAAAATGATAGGAACTTTTACTAAGCTTTAGGGCAAACTGCTCACTGCTACACTCATGTTTAGGTCTTATTCATCCAAGCCCAAAACTTGTATAAGAAGTTTGTGAAATCACCTGGCTTTGTGGGGAACAAACAGCGAATAGTGATTCACATTGTGGAACAGCGAGTGCGCTTCTACCCAGCGGCCTTCTTATGCTGCTGGGGCCCAGGTGGGTATCTTAACAGGAAGAGATGGAGAGTGAAGAGGGTAACAATATTGGATTCAACAATATATTGGGATCAAGCAGAGTGATCTCACCAAGGCAGATGACTGACTGTAGATTCCTGTCCAGCTTATAAGATTTATGTTGGCTTTACCCATATTTCGAGTTTTCCCTGACCCCCCCCCAACTTTTTTCCTTTTTATATATTAGAAATTAAGGTAATTAGGCATGAGGTGCAAGCTGATGTGAGAGGGCAAATTACCTGATATGACAGGATTCACCTATTAACATTTGCTTTAAGTTGATAGTGAGGATCACATTGGATAATGTTATGAAAGGCCTTGGTAAATTTTGATACTCTAAGTAGTATCTTTTTCTGAGCACGATGGCAAAATCTTGTAATTCCAGCTCTTTGAGAGGCTGAGGCAGGAGGATCTAAGTTCAAGGTCATTTTGGCAATTTAGCAAGACCTTGTCTCAAAATAAAAGATAAAAAGACTGGGCATGGTGGCATATACCTCTAATCCCAGGGGTTTGGGAAAATGAGGCAGGAGGATCATGAGTTCCAGGCCAGCCTCAATAACTTAGCAAGGCCCTCAGTAATGAAATCCTGTCTCAAAACAAAAAATAAAAAAGGACTGGGTACTCCTGGTACTAGTGAAATGAAATGAAATGAAATAATAGCTAGGGCATAGCTCAGTGGTAAAATGCTCCTGAATTCAATCTCCAGTACAGAAAAAATTATTATCTTCCTGTAGTACCTCTCCACAATTATCACACAAATCATCTGTAAAGTTTAATTAATAAAGACTAGAAGTCAGAAGCCTTTGGTTTGCATAACTGGTTAAAAGTATTGATCTTCAATAAGCCCATATCTTCCATTCTAATAATGCTCAGACATGTATACTGAGGAACTCTGTGCTTCAGGCAGTGAGGTCTAATGACAGAATTTATGTGTTCTGTATTCATAGCTGTCGTGCTGATAATCACAAAGCTGACTAAGCCCCAGGACACCGAGCTACACATGGCCCTGTATGTTCTCCAGGTAACACCTTCAAAATCCAGAATTTCTCTTCCTACACCCTCTTATTCTACTCTCTTACACTGACATTACTCAGTAAGCACAATTTCCCTCTGTGAAGGAAAAGAGAACATGTATTATTTATGCTCATTTATGAAGAATGTGAAAATTTCCACAGAGGAGGGTAGATGCTTTGGTAAAAGTGCTAGTATGCACTCCACAGCATATGTATCTCTGGTCAATTTCATTTTATTGATGTGTTTTTAAGAAGTGAGTAGACAAAAAAAAAAATAGTGGTCTACTAGGGCACATTCTTAACACTGGTAGTCATGATTCTCTCTAATCCAAATTGAATTGAATGAGATTAATTCACCTTTCTTAGTGAATGTGGTGGGTAGGGAGGTAATAGAATGGTTCTCCTCATTTATCAGATTGAAGAAAGACTTTTTTTGAACTATCTAATTATGCTGATAAGGCAGTTTTTTCCAAAAAATGGATCAGTAAGGAGGGGCATTGAAGCCACTTCATTGTCCTTATATATAAACTAAGAAATATGACCAACTTTTAGTCAATTATGTTAAGATGTAAAGAATTAGTTCAGAAAGAACTAGAAAAATAGAAAAAATAGATACCAGATCTTGATGTTTGAGATAGAGGAAATGTAGCCATGCTTCGTAAACAAGGGTTGTGGGGCTTTTTCCTGGATCTCTACAAACCTGAAGAGCAGATTCCATCACCCCTGTCTCTCCTTTAGGCTCTAACAGCAGGATCCCAGGGTCTGCTCCACTTTGGAGTATATGGATGGACACAGCACAAATTCCACCAACTAAAGCAAGAGGCTCAATGTGATGTGGATACCCAGACACCATTATTATGCTCACAGAAGAGAGTCTATAACAGGGGCCTGGATCCATTAGGGTCTACTGTTACTTTTGCTACTAGCTCCTCCACCATTCTTTGAAATTACAATTACTAGGATACTCAGGAACTGGAATTGTTTTACATTAATGGATTGTGAAGAATGTCAGGTAACCATATCCTACACCAGCTTTCTTAACAAGACCCCCTAAAACTCAAGAAATAAAATAAAAAATAAGTGGGATGGCTTCAAATAAAGCTTCTGTACAGCAAAGGAAACAGGAGCATGAAGAGAGAGCCTACTAAATAGGAGAATCTTTGCTAGCTACTCTTCTGACTGGAGATTAATATCCAGAATATATATAAAACTCAAGAAACTTTTTTTTTAAAAGAAAGAGAGAGAGAGAATATTTTTATTTATTTTTTAGTTTTCGGTGGACACAACATCTTTGTTTGTATGTGGTGCTGAGGATCGAACCCGGGCCGCACGCATGCCAGGCGAGTGCGCTACCACTTGAGCCACATCTCCAGCCCTCAAGAAACTTAATACCAAAAAAAAACAAATGACCCAATCAATTAATGGGCAAATGAGCTAAACAGACATTTCTCAAAATTTCTGGCAAATAGCCAACAAAATACATATAAAAATGTTCAACATCCTTAGCAATCTGGGAAATACAAATCAGAACTACCCTGAGATTTTTATCTCATTCCAATTAGAATAGCAGTCATCAAAAATACAAAGAATAATAAATGCTGGTGAGGATGTGAAGGAAAAGGTACACTTATGTATTGTTGATGGGACTGAAAATTAGTACAAGCATTTTGGAAAGCAATATGGAGATTCCTGAAAATACTAGAAAAGGACCCGTAAGATAACCCAGCTATCCCACTCCTTGGTATTTATCCAAAAGACCCAAAAGTAGCATACTATAGCGATACATGCATATGAATATTTATAGCAGCACAATTCATAATAGCCAATTTATGGAACCAGCTCAGGTGTCCCTTAATAGATGATTGGATAATGAAAATGTGATATATATACACAATGGAGTTTTATTTAGCCATAAAGAATAATGAAATTATGTCATTTGCTGGCAGATGGGTAGAATTGAAGAACATCATGCTGAGTGAAACAAGCCAGTTTCCGAAAGTCAAGGGTTGAGTGTTTCTCTTATATATAGAAGTTAGAGAAAAATAAGGTATTAAAAGTTGGTAGGGGTGTTGGGAAACAGTCTCATAAAAATAGAAGGGAGAACAATACAGTAGAGGAAGGGCTATGAGGGGAAGGAGGAATGGGAAAGGGGAAGAAGAGCAGAATGAAATTAACCAAACTGCCATGTATCATGTATGTATGAACATATAATAATGAATTCCACTTTTATGCATAACTGTAATGCATCAATTAAAAAATAAATCAATTATAAAAGAATTAACAGGGTTTTTTTTTTTTTGGTCATACTGAGAGTCAGAGGGGACATGTGCAGCTGAGCCACTGTTCAAACTGTCCCACTAACCCTAGAAGGGACAATAGCCATACATAGAGGCAGTTCTTAAAATTATCATGAACATCCCTCCTATGACACTTGTTCAGTTTGTGGTCATAGTGGAATAGAGTGGTGTCTAAATAGGTTTGATTATACAAACCTTCCGTGGCTCTCATAGAATGCTACCCTTCACTTTCCCTCTCGTCAGCCCTTTCTATGGCTTCAAAAACATCTATATGCCAACACCTCATTTCTTGCATGGGCTATATGGGTGCTTGATGTTTTTCAATGTGCAGAGCCTTAGATCCTTTTGCATAGACCTTAACTATTATTTTAGAGTCACTGCCATGGTTTCTAAACGTATTCCCTAGGTAATGATTACTTTTCCAGGCAACTCTTATACTCTTTCTAAAGATTTTATATCACTGATTCTCCAGGTTTCTGTACTGGCCCTGCTAAAATAACCTTATTTTTTACAATGGGTACTGTCTTGCTTGTGTGTGTCTGTCTGGCATCACATGGAGGTGCCATTATAGTATTCTGGGAGGTCACTCATCCACAGGGAAGCCTTTTTCTCACAATATAGCTTTACAAAGGAGCTTTGGAGGTCAGGTTTATTAAGCAAGCAGTCATCATTGTGCTCATACAACATCTGATCAAAATCTATATTTACAGTAATAAATTCATTGTTTAGTACAGAAGTTCTGGTCCTGGAACTTGTAAGCCACACCGTTATGCTTTATTTCCAAGCTATGGCTAAGCTCATGACCAGGAGAGCTGAAAAATGGATTATTTCTTCATGTGAGGAAGGTTCAATGCTTGTTGCATTCTTAGCAGTATAGATACCATTGAGAAATGCATGGCCCAGCTACTTCTAAGTTTTTGATTAATAGTCATATGAACAACAACATGTTTCACATTTCCCAAAAGATATATTGAAATGTTTTTGGCATATTTAGGCACATTTGGCACTAGGTTTCTCTCTGTCCATATCTTTAACACAGAAATGCGTTTTGTACACTAGGCTCCTTCATCTAAAACTTGACCAAGGTGTATACATCTATTGCCACATATTGCTTATTCACATTATTTCACATTAAGAACTTCTTATTGTCAATCACGGTACACAGTTCTGTATACTTGAGAAGTGAGCATACATAGATGACATGGGGACTGGATTCTATTCTACTCTGAAATTGTGAAGTGGTTAGAAGCCCCTCTTATTCATCTCCACTGACTACATAGGATTCACCCTATTTTATAGGTAGGCCATAAACCATATGTAAACCACATACCTCAAATATTTTTTTTATCTATCTACCCTTTATTCATGAGAAAGTGCTGTTAATTAGAAGAAAATCTCTGTAACTCTCTAAATACCCATCATAGTTGCAGTCATTTTGTATAAAAGGCATTTCCGGGCTGGGGATGTGGCTCAAGTGGTAGCATGCTCACCTGGCATGTGTGCGGCCCGGGTTCGATCCTCAGCACCACATACCAACAAACATGTTGTGTCCGCCAAAAACTAAAAAATAAATATTAAAAAAATTCTCTCTCTCTCTCTCTCTCTCTCTCTCTCTCTCTCTCTCTCTCTCTCTCTCTCTTTCTTTAAAAAAAAAAAAAAAAGAAAAGAAAAAGGCATTTCCAAGCTCAGGTTCCCATTTTGATGTGAATGTAAAACAGAGAGGTTATTGACAGTTTTTTCTTTTGCTTAAAGTTAATGATCTTCCATTTTTCTCATCTGAACAGGGCCTAGGCCACGTTTTCTACTTTTTCTTCTAGTCTTGTGACATCTTCTGTTTCCTGGGGATAGGTATTTGATAATAAAGAGATTCCACTTATATCCCTTGAAAAAGAATCACTATTAACAGCAAGATAACATGCTGCAACTTAACCTAGGGAGGGCCCATTCTCAAATATCCCATAGGAGAATTTCTAGATAAAAGAAATCATTCCAAACTCTACCTGTGATTTCATAGAATGTGTCAGGAGGGAGGCAAAGTTACTGTTAATGTCATTTTCATGGTCCAAGTGAAAGAGCCAATGATCCTGGACCTCTCTATCTTTTTCCTTTCCTGGGCTCAACCTTTGTCAGTAACAGAGTTATTTGGTCAAAGCTCCCAGCTTGCTGCCAGCTAGGATAGCTGTTCCCCACCTGTGAGTGTTACATGACAACATCTGCCTTCTACAATTCTTGCCCCCCCCCGTATGTTCTTATTTTGCATCATCCTTCAAAATTTTAATACTTACCTGAGCTTTTGCTGTCTTCATAGAGAAATATACCAAGGAGAGGAAGCTTTCAAAGGTCCAGCTATGTCCTAGGATAGGGCTCCAAGAAAAGAAGAAAATGGTAACTTTTTCCCTACAGTCCCACTCCTCCATGGAACAGATTTCTCCCACATTCCCTGTTATTCTTTGGAGCCACTGAAACTAAAAGTTATAAAGCAGTTTTGTGGATCTATGGGTCACAGGCATCTGCCGCCCAATGCTACTTACACCGTTTCCTAATCTACCACACAGCTCATTTCAGATCCTCAAGCCTTTTTCGCCTCCAGAAAGATTGTAGGCATGGTCTTTGACATATTGCTTTGTTCTAAAAATCTCTTCTGTGGGGCTGGGGTCATAGCTCAGTAGCAGAGGGCTTGCCTTTCACGTGTGAGGCACTGAGTTTGATCCTCAGCACTGCATAAAAATAAATAAAATAAAGGTATTGTGTCCATCCTCAAAACTCCTCTGGAAGGACATTTTCCTCATTTAAATTGATGGATTTTTTGGGGGGGCGGGGGAGGTACCAGGGATTGAACTTAGAAGCACTCAACCACTGAGCCACATTCCCAGCCATTTTATTTTTTATTTCAAGAGAGGGTCTAAGTTGCTTAGGGCCTTGATATGTTGCTATAGCTAGCTTTGAACTCTATGATCCTCCTGCCTCATCCTCCTGAGTCACTGAGATTACAGGCAAGCACCACCAACCCTGGCTTAAATTAATGAATTTTGATTCTTGCCCTAAAGTTCCCTCTGTTTCTGAGCTAAAGGCACTCCTCTGTCCTATCTGATGAATAGTACATGCTCTTTAGTGTATGGAGGAGTAGTGATTCAGAATATGAAAGACAGGGATCAGCTTCCAAAAAGAATAGCAAGTTGTAGACCATCAGTAGGCCTTTCCTGTAATAAATATATATATATGTATTTTAAGAGAGAGAATTTTCAATATTTATTTTTTAGTTTTCGGCGGACACAACATCTTTGTTTGTATGTGGTGGTGTGGATTGAACCCAGGCCGCACGCATGCCAGGCAAGCACGCTACTGCTTGAGCCACATCCCCATCCCCCTTTCCTGTAATATATGAGTAGCAAAACAAGAAAAAAAAAATTAGTTCTATAAATCTAAGGAGCCCAGTCAAATACCCGTATCTATAGCCCTAGTGTCTTTTCCCTGAGGCCAAGATAAATCTGTAACATAGCACAGTATCTTATACTTTACATATCTGATAGAGGCATTGTTATTGGCTCCTCCAGTAGAAACACAATGTGTGGATCGTGGTGGTACATTTCTTCTGTAAGTAATTTTTTAGAGTTTATTATGGAGAGTGCTTTTTCTGCATCTGTTCAGATGGTCTTTATCCTTCATGTGGTCATGTGTGTCACATGGTTTTTATCCTTCATTCTGTTAATGTGATGTCATTATGAGTAGTATTTTGTGTATGTTGAGCTTCCTTGCACCCCTGAGATACATCCCAATTGATCATAGTGTATAATAGTTTTAGGTACAGTTAATTGGATTATATCTACTACTGTCTTGTTGAGAATTTTAGTGTCTGTGTGCATC